CGAGGGTGCTTGATTAGGAAGCAAACTGGCCTGGTTGCACTCCTTGAGCCTCTTTCCTATCCCTGACACGCGCTCCTGCTACCTTTGAGGGCGCTGATGTGTGACTGCCAAGTTGGGGACTGGCCCAAGGTCACAGCTACTTCTTTGTACTGCAAAGGCATTAGGGAGAGGTCCCCAAGAGAAGAGGACGAGATAGATTCCTCGTAGCCAGTCTTGGAACGTAACACAGCCAAACCTGGAATGCAAAACACATACGCGCGCGCACACCCCCCCCCCCCCACCCACACACCCACACCTTTTTTTTAACCTCTCTGGACATCTTCATTGTACAGGTAAGGAAACAAAAGTTTAGAGCGGCTACACAACTACCTAGAGGTCACACTGCTATTGTAGTAAGTAAAAAGGGTAAAGCCCATGTCTTCTGATTCCAAATTTAGTGCACTTTCCACCACTTCACAATTGCCTTATGACTATTCTTTTAGTATTGTTTTTTGAAAACTAAAAAGAGTGGATCTAACTAACGTTCAGAGATTCCTGCTGATTGAGGGTAAAGAGAGAACCATAAGAATAAAAATATAATATAGTAAGGATTATAGGCTAGGAGAAGGAAGCTCGGGATGGAAATAACTGTTGGAGCTGATCTAGTTTACCATTCTCTTGCCAGAGGCAGGACCTAATCAACCTACCTACTGTGTTTCCCTGAAAATAAGACATCCTCCGGAAATAAGACCTATTCCATCCTCATGGAAAGATAAGACATCCCCTGAAAATAAGACCTAGTGTAACTTTGGGAGAAAAAATTAATATAAGACACTGTCTTATTTTCGGGGAAACAGGGTAGATGATTGACAGGAGGGGGATGACCTCCAAAAAGCTGATGGATATTTTTTTGTCCTGTCGGGTCTCTATCTACAGTTGCTAGTGACAGCAGGGCACTGGGGATACAACTTTGGAAGAGAGATAGATGATTTTTGGCTTCAAACTTACATTGAGGGGGGACAAATGTGTGTGTGTGTATATATATATATATATATATATATATATAGCAATAGACCTGAGAGGTACAGAAATCAGAGGAAAGCCCCAACTGGTTTGGCTCAGTGAATAGAGTGTTGGCCTGTGGGCTGAAGGGTTCCAGATTCGATTCTGGTCAAGGGCATGTGCCTTAATTGCGGGCACATCCCCAGTGGGGAGGGTGCAGGAGGAAGCTGAATCAATGTTTCTCACTGATGTTTCTAACTCTATCCCTCTCCCTTCCTCTCTGTAAAAAATCAATAAAATATATTTAAAAAATTAAGAGGAAGGAGAGATACCATTTCTGATTGGTAGATACCATTTCTGATTTGAGATCTGGAAATACTTTAAGGAGAAAGAATCACTTGAGTTGGGCCTTGAAGAATTATCAATAGTAGGATCTAGACATATAGGGGTAAAGGGCATACTAAACAGAAGAAACTAGAGTGAAAGGATGGGGGTGAGAAAATGGCATGTTTGGGGAAGGGCAGATAGATGGATAGGATAGAGTTTGTGGTTAAAAGTGGTAAGGTCAAAAATTGTTTTGGATAGCAGGTTGCAATTGCATACTGAAGGTTTACATACAAATGATTTTTGTGTGTGTGTGTGTGTGTAACAGTTTCTTTAAAAAATATATATGTATTGATTTTTTACAGAGAGGAAAGGAAAGGGATAGAGAGAAACATCGATGAGAGAGAATCATCGATCAGCTGCCTCTTGCACACCTCCTACTGGGGATGTGCCCACAACCCAGGTACATGCCCTTGACTGGAATCGATCCCGAGACCTTTCAGTCTGCAGGCTGACACTCTATACAGTGAGCCAAACTGGTTTCGGCAGCAGTTTAATGACAAAATCTATATCATAAATGAAGATTTTAATATAAGTCCAGAACCATAGAAGAATTTTATTCAGGGGAGTAATATGAGAAATGCAACATTGCTTTCTTTCTAAAAATAAGTCCAAATCTCTCAAATCACTAGAAAACTGGAGATGCTTAATAAAGGGAAGATTTAATTATAGGGTTAAGTAGCCTGTATAAACAAGCCTTACAGGAAAAAGGCCTAGGATGAGGGGCAGCAAAATCCCTTTCAAAAACCCTGTTTCCCTGACCTCCGTGATAACACAGCCTTGTGAATGAGAAGCTGTGTCCTCTTTTTCCTGCCTCTATTTTCAAATTCTGTTTCCAATCAAGTGATAAACCCAAGAGTTGCTATGGAGGAAGTAAATTTGATTGATTTGTTTTTCCCAGCTGTATTTCTAATGGCAGAGTGCTATAGTAGTAAATAATAGAACAAAATCTCAGGCTTGAGAACATCAAACCCATTCTCTGAACTCCCTCTGCTTCTGTCCTTTCGACTTCACCATTTCTCTTTATCATTCTTTTTTTTCTGTCTTTCTGTACAACCTCAGAGTAAGAAGGAAATCTATTCTTTCCCAAGTCCAACCAAGGTTGCCACATCCTTGATCTCACTCTCTTCTGCTTATTTTTACCAGTCTTTCACATCCCCTCAAATTTTCAGTCTCTCTTCCTCTTTTTGATCCTTCTCTTTGGATTCTAAAACATACTCAAGTTTCCATTATCCTTGTCATTGTTTTAGCTTTTTCTAAACCCAATGTTCCTTTTCTGCCCTTCCCGGCCAATGTTATAGAACTACATTTTTTCAGTTACCACCCACTTCCCCTTTTGCAAGCTGGCTTTTGCCTTCATCTTTACTGAAACTGCTTTCTTGCAGTTGATCTCCTGGGTAACAAACAAAGACCTGTTTTAGCTCTTTGTCAACCTGAATTTTTCTGCAGCATTTGATGATGTTAACCACCCCTGTCTTCCCTTCTCTTCTTTTTCTTCCTTCTGATGCTAAATTAGGTGCTTTCACAGATCTATCCTTTGGTCTCTTAGGTTAGTGAGTCTCAACCTGGGATACATATAATAACCTGAAGAATTTCTTAAAGTCTCAATGCCCAGGCCATACTAAACAATATCTGGTGGTAGGTCTCAGATATTAGTTTTTTGTTTTTAATCTTTATTGTTGAGAGTATTACAAATGCCCCCTTTTCTCTCCTACATTGCTCCCCTCCACCCAGTTCCCACCCCAGGCCTTCACCACCTTATTGTCTATGTCCATAGGAAATACATATATGTGTGTAAGATTTTTAGTTAATTTCTTCCCACCTACCCCCCATCCCTCTGAGATTTGTCAGTCTGTTCCGTGTTGCCATGCCTCTGGTTCTAGTTATTCATCAGTGTAATTTGCTCATTAGATTTCTTGTTTGTTTATTTTGATTTTTAGGTCCAATAGTTGATATATGTATTTATTGCCATCTTATTGTTCATAATTTATTCTTCTTCCTCTTAAAGAATACCTTTCAACATTTCATGTAATACTGGTTTGTTGGTGTTGGACTCCTTTAGCTTTTTCTTGTCTCTGAAGCTCTTTATCTCACCTTCCATTCTAAATGATAGCTTTGGTGAGTAGAGTAATCTTAGTTGCAGGTCCTTGCTTTGAATATCTCTTGCCACTCCTGGCCTGCGAAGTTTCTGTTGAGAAATCAGCTGACAGTCATATGGACGCTCCCCTGTAGATAGGCAACTGCTATTTTTTTGCTGCTTTTATGGTTTTCTCTTTGTCTCTAACCCTTGGCATTTTAATTACGATGTGTCTTGGTGTAGACCTCTTTGGGTTCCTCTTGTTTGGAACTCTCTGTGCTTCCTGGACTTGTAAGTCTACTGCACTGGCTAGGGAAAGTTTTCTGTCATTATTATTTCAAATATATATTTTCTTTTTAAAAAATATTTTTATTGATTTCAGAGAGGAGGAAGGGAGGGATAGAAATATCCTGTATAATAAAAGGCTAATATGCAAATTGACCCCTTGGGAGTTCAACCAACCAGGAGTTCGACTGCTTGCTATGATGTTCATTGACCTCAAAGGGGCAGCGTGGAACAAAGGAAGGCCCCAGCTGGCAGCTGGTAGCTGGGGGAAGGAAGGCCCCAGCCAGCAGCTGGTAGCCAGGGGAAGCAAGGTCCTGATAGGCCCTGATTGCCAACCAGGCCTAGGGACCCTACCTGTGTACAAATTTCGTGCACTAGGCCTCTAGTCAATAATGAAAGAGAATCATTGATTGGCTGCCTCCGGCACGCCCCATACTGGGAATTGAGCCCCCTAACTGGGCTTGTGCCCTGACCCAGAATCAAACTGTGACCTCCTGGTTCAGAGGACCATGCTCAACCACTGAGCCATGCTGGCTGGACTTTTTTTTTTTTTTTTTTTAATTTAATAAATCTTTATTGTTCAGATTATTACAGTTGTTCCTCTTCCCTCCCCCCCCCCCCATAGCTCCCCTCCACCTGGTTTCCATCCACCCTCTTCCTTTACCTCCCTCCCATTGTCCTCATCCATAGGTGTACAATTTTTGTCTAGTCTCTTCCTGCACCCCCATACCCTTTTTCCCTGAGAGTTGTCAGTTCACTCCCATTCTATGCCCCTGATTCTATTATATTCACCAGTTTATTCTGTTATTCAGATTTTTAAACTGATAAGAACAGATACTACACTTGATCTTAGCCAAAAGGCCAAGAAGCGATGTTAATCAGATTTTTAATTCACTTGATTTTTATTATATTTTATTGATTTTTCACAGAGAGGAAGAGAGAGGGATAGAGAGTTAGAAACATCGATGAGAGAGAGAATCATCGATCAGCTGCCTCTTGCACACCGCCTACTAGGGATGTGCCCACAACCAAGGTACATGCCCTTGACCAGAATTGAACCCGGGACCTCTCAGTCCACAGGCCAACGCTCTATCCACTGAGCCAAACTGGTCCCGGCTCACTTGATTTTTAGATTCACTTGTTGATAGATATGTATTTATTGTTCATAATTTATATCTTTACCTTTTTCTTCTTTCTCTTATTAGAGAATACCTTTCAGCATTTCATATAATACTAGTTTGGTGTTGAACTCCTTTAGCTTTTTCTTATCTATGAAGCTCTATAGCTGACCTTCGATTCTAAATGTTAGCTTGGCTGGGTAGAGTACTCTTGGTTGTAGGTTCTTGCTATTCATCACTTTGACTATTTCTTGCCATTCCCGTCTGGCCTGCATAGTTTCTGTTGAGAAATCAGCTGACAATCATATGGGTGCTCCCTTGTAGGTAATTCTCTTTTTCTCTTGCTGCTTTTAATATTATCTTTTTGTCTTTTGCTCTTGGCATTTTAATTATGATGTGTCTTGGTGTGGTCCTCTTTGGATTCCTTTTGTTTGGGGTTCTGTGCGCTTTCTGGACTTGTAAGTCTATTTCTTTCACCAGGTGAGGGAGGTTTCCTGTCATTATTTCTTCAAATAGGTGTTAAATACCTTGTTCTCTCTCTTCATCTGGCACCCCATAATTCTGATGTTGGTATGTTTGAAGTTGTCCCAGAGGCTCCTTACACTGTCTTCATATTTTTGGATTCTTTTTTCTTTTAACTTTTCCAGTTGAGTGATTTTTGCTTCTTTATATTTCAAATCTTTGACTTGATTCTTGCGTTCCTCTAGTTTCTGTTGGGTGTCAGGATAATATTTTTTATTTCAGTCAGTGTATGTTTAACTTCTAATTGGTCCTTTTCCATATTCTCGAAGGTCTTTCTCATATCCTTGAGGGTCTCAATAAATTTATCGGCCTTTTCTAGGAAATTCTTGAAAAACCTTATAACTGTGGTTTTGAACTCTATCTACAGTTGTTTTTTTCTTCCATTTCTTTCGTTTGTGATTTTTTTTCTTTGCATTTTACTACTTCCCTGAGTTGGTAGGGTAGCTTTATTTGCTAGGTGTCCTATGTGGGCCAGTGGCTTGGCCTCCCCTGTTACCTGAAGTGGACACTCTTGGTGCACCCCTTTGTGGACTGTGTGTACAGCCTTGTTGCAGTTAAGTCTTGATTGTTGTTGGTATCAGTGGGAGGAGTTGACTTTCAGGCCAATTGGCTGTGAGGATCAGCTGTGTTATGCCAGGAAACAGCCTTATTCGATTAGACTTGCAAACTTGCAAAAGCCTCTGTGCTCAGCTTGGATGGGGCGGAGTTTCAGGGTGGAGCCTACAGCCTTGGCTTCCTATCAGCCCCACCCTATTGCTGCAAGCACCTCTGAGGGAAAGGCACCTTGGAGTTTTGCCCACTGCCAGTCAGTCTAGTCTCTCCCCCAGTGAATCTGGATTCCCAGATTCTTGCCTGGAACTGGGGTTCAGTGCAATCGGAGCTGGGGTTCAGCGTAGTCCAGAGCTTTTTGTCTCATTCTCACTAGGGCATTACAGCAACACAGTCAACAGTCTGTCCTCTGCGCACTTTCATGTACGCAACTCCGGAGCTCTGTCTTTCTCCGCTCCCCTGAGTTTCCACCTTACAACCCAGATTCCCCCAGTATGAGCCACAGTCCCCAGGGTCTCGCCCGGAACTGGGGTTCAGTGCAATTGGAACTGGGGCTCAGCGCAGTCTGGTGCTTTTATCTCCTTCCCTCTAGAGAACACCAGTCAGGCACTCAGCCACCCCCTCCTCTCTGGCTCCATCCTCTCCACACTCGCGCACCTGTGTCTCTGTACCTCAAGCTTTTACAGCTCCTCTGGTTTTTCTCTTTCCTTCTCGTTGTAGAATTTCCAGTTAGCCAGCTTTCCTGTGGTTCTGGATGATGTCCGTCTTGTCTTTTGGTTGTAGTTTTGAAATTGTTGTGCGAGGCTGCAGTTTAGGTGTTTACCTATGCTGCCATCTTGGTTTCTCTCCCAAATAGGTTTTCAATATCTTGCTCTCTCTTTTCCCCTTCTGGCACCCCCATAATGCAAATGTTGGTATGCTTTTAGCTATCCTAGAGGCTCTTTACACTATCTTCATATTTTTTCCCCTTCTTTTTGCTCTGCTGATTTGTGTGGTTTTTTTTGTGTTTTTTTTTTTTTTTGCTTCCTTATAGTCCATATCATTGATTTGATTCTCAGAATCTTCTCCTCTACTGTTGAATCCCTGTAAATAATTCTTTATTTCAGTTAGTGTATGCCTAATTTCTGACTGGTCCTTTTCATGTCTTTAAAATTCTCACTAAGATCCTGGAAAGTCTCACTGAGTCCTTTGAAGCTTTCATTAAGTCCCTTAAAGCTATCATTAAGTTCCTTGAGTAACCTTATTATCATTGTTTGCACTCTGTATCCAGTAGTTTGCTTGCTTCCATTTCTTTCATTTGTGACATGTTTCTTTGTCTCCACATTTTGGCTGCTTTCTTGTGTTTGTTTTTATGTAGTAGATAGCACTGCGATGTCTCCTGTGTTTGGTAGAGTGGCCTTGTGTAGTAGTGTCCTGTAGGGATCAGTGGCTCAGCCTCCCCAGTCACCGGAGCTGGGCACTGTAGGTGCATCCCTGTGTAGGCTGTGTGCACAGTCTTGTTGTACTTGAGCCTTGATTGCTGTTGGCATCATTGGGAGGAATTGCCCTCCAGGCCAATTGGCTGAGAGGACCAACTGCAATTATAGTGGAAGAGCTTCTGTGCAGGAGACACCCCTTTAGAGCAGGACTTCAGTGGGGCTTTGGTGCTTACTGAGTCTGCCTCTGGAGTGCTTGTGATTTTGTAGAATTGTAATCTGTTATGTTCTGAAGCTGTCCACCGGGTACATTGGCTCTGAGGTCTCCTGGAAGGTGCAAAGTCATTCACTGCCACCTGGCAGTAGCCACAGAGTGACCAGGAGATGGCTGCCACATGTGTAAGCCCAGAAATGCCCAAGCTGAGGCCAAACTGTCTTGGGCCTCTAATTGATAGGTATGGATTACACTGATGCCAACTACTGCTTGTTTGAGAGATTTTAGCAAAGTCTGAAGAGTGAACCAGGACAGGCCATCCGTAAGGAAAATTCATTACAAGCAGCTTGGGTGGGGCTGCAAATTGAATGGGGCAGAGTCTCAGGGAATCAACAAGAGGAAGTGAACAATGTGAGACAGCCTGATGGAAATTCAGATATGGCTGCCACTCAGCTCTAGGACAGTGGAGGTCCCAGCAAAGGAACAAAGATCCCCGTGAGCACCCCCATTTGGGAGAAAGCTGCTCCTGAGTTCCTGCCTCGATGCCAGGCAATCCAGTTCTTCCCAGTATGTCTCTGGCTCCCCCAGCACTGGAGCTCAGAGGAAGCAGGGCCAAATAAGTTTGTGTGCTAGACCTTATAAGAGGAACTATGTAGGTCTCCAGCAGCCTGTGGGTTGCCACTCAGCCACAATCCCTGCTGGTTTTTACAGCCTAAGTTATGGGAACTTCACTTTCCAGCTGTGGAGCCCTGGGCAGGGGGTCTGGTGTGGGGCTGGGACCCCTTGCTTATTAAGTGAGGCAGCAAAGATATTACTCCCAATTAAAAAAATGCCATATGTGGGTGTCAGACCAATCCATTCCCTGCTTCTGCCCCTCCTACCAGTCTCTGTGCTTTCTTCTTTACTTTTCTAGTTGTAGGACTTCCATTCAGCAAGCTTTCAGGCAGTTCTGAATGTTGGTTGTTCTGTATTTTAGTTGTAATTTTTATGTGGTTGTGGGAAGCAGTAAGTACCACACTTAACTATACTACCATCTTGGTTCTCCTCTTGTTCTTCCATCAGTTTTTGTGTGTGTGTGTGTGTGTGTGTGTGTGTGTGTGTGTGTGTTTTAAAGGATTCCTGGTGATTACATTGTTCAGCCAAGATTGAAAACTGTTCTACTCATTCTTTCTTGTGAATCTCATAGGCTCAACAACCGCTCTAGCCCGATGCGTGCGCATGCGCTCGCGCGCGCGCTCTCTCTCTCTCTCTCTCTCTCTCTCTCTCTCTCTCTCTCTATATATATATATATATATATATATATATATTTATTTATTTTTTTAAATTTTTATTTATTTATTTATTTATTTATTTATTTTTTACAGAGAGGAAGGAAGAGGGATAGAGAGCTAGAAACATCGATGAGGGAGAAACATTGACCAGCTGCCTACTGGGGATGTGGCCGCTACCAATGTACATGTCCTTGACCGGAATCAAACCTGGAACCTTTGAGTCTGCAGGCTGACCCTCTGTCCACTGAGCCAAACCGGTTTCTGCCTGATGCTCTCACTTAAACCTTATGTCAAGCATGTGTTTATTGGAGTAGACCACTGGTTTGCTCCTGAAGCAAAATCGTGTATAAAATTAAGACTATTCGTCCCAGCCCCCAAATTTATTTTTGTGTTCACTGTTGTTTTATTCTATCAGTGTTCTCCCAAACACTTACACTTAAAAGATGAGTCACCTCGCTGGCCGGATGGCTCAGTTGATTGGAGCATTCTCCCCTGTACCAAAACGGTTGCAGGTTTGATTCTCCATTAGGGCACATACCCAGGTTTCGGGTTCAATCCACATATGAGAGGCAACCAATTTATATAAATATATATAATCAATAAACATTGGGTGAGGATTTAAAAGAAAAATTGGAGTCATGTTCTTTTTCTCCCTTTCCTTCCCTTCTACATTTAACCTGTTGTCAGATTCTGTTGATTCTGCCACAGAAATTCTTCCTGTTTCTTCGTGTCTGTCACCACTGTTACATTCCTGTTTAGGCCCAACTTCTTCAGCTGGTATCCCTGACTCTGCTCTTTAGTTCTGTGTCTATCAGCTAGTGGTTAAGTTACAATTGATAGTGTAATGCTGTCCATGTCACTCCCTTGTTCCACGCCTCTTGAAGTCATCCTGTTGTCTGTAGTGATCCTTGATGGTTTGGCCCATGCTTGGCAAACTGCGGCTCATGAGCCACATGCAGCTCTTTGGCTCCTTGGCTCTTCCACAAAATACCACTGCCTGGGCGAGTCTATTTTGAAGAAGTTAGAAGAAGTTTAAGTTTAAAAAATTGGCTCTCAAAAGAAATTTCAATTGTTGTACTGTTTGCTGACCAATGGTTTGGCCTAAACTCTTAATATCTCTTCATTTACTAGTACGCTGAGTTCCAGGCAAACTAAATTTCTGGTTCTTTACTTTCTTTCACCTTAAATATTGAATATTGAAATGTTACCTATTTTTATTTTTATTTTAAAATTATTTTTGTCAGATACAAGAAAAAGTTTATTTAGAAAGTCACAGAGGTAGAAGAAGTGAGCTGTCGAAGAAGTGTGTCAGCTGAGCTGTGTGGGCTCAAGGAACAAGTTACAGAGACAAATGATGGGCCCTTAGAGCTTAGGAAAGAGGGGTAAGGAAAATGTACCTGAGGAAGGTGGTAGGGAAGGCTTGGCGTGCTCTATAGAGAGAGCCGCTGAATATTACCCGTTTTAAAGGCCTAATTCAGAAAGTCCTGATGTTACATTCTCCTAAGCTAAAGTTATTTCTTCCTCTTGAGTTTCTATAATGTTTTCCCCATTTTTTAAACACACACACACACACACACACATATATATATATATATATATATATATATTTTCAATATATATATATTTCTTTATTGATTTCAGAGAGGAAGGAAGAGGTAGAGATCGATAGAAACATCAATGATGAGAGAGAATCATTGATTGGCTGTCTCCTGCATGTCTCCCACTGGGGATTGAGCTCGCAACCCTTCAGTCCACAGGATAACGCTCTATCCACTGAGCCAAACTGGCGAGGGCGCTTTCCCCATTATATGCTTATTTCAATGTTGAATCCAAGACACTGAAATGATCTAATAACCAAGAAAACAGTTTTCTCAAAAGGAAAGTGGTAGTGGAAATTTCTGTCAGAAATATGGGGACTTGCTCTAGTA